TGAGGTAGCAGTGGCAGACATCATGAGGCAGCAGTGGCAGACAACATGAAGCAGCAGGGGCAGACATCATGAGGTAGCAGTGGCAGACAACATGAAGCAGCAGTGGCAGACAATGTGAAGCAGCCATGGCAGACAACATGAGGTAGTAGTGGCAGACAACATGAAGAAGCAGTGACAGGCAACATGAAGCAGTAGTGACAGACAACATGAAGCAGCAGTGGCAGACAAAATGAGGTAACAGTGGCAGACAACATGAGGTAGCAGTGGCAGACAACATGAGGTAGCAGTGGCAGACAACATGAAGCAGCAGTGGCAGACAACATGAGGTAGCAGTGGCAGACAACATGAAGCAGCAGTGGCAAAGTGTAGCATTAAGATTGTAGCAATTAAGTGAAGCATTAAGAGTGTAGCACTTATAAGTCACTCTGTCTGATTTTTTTGGGTTATCCTAGGTTCTCTACACATGTAGTCAGCAGCAGGAATGGCAGCTGTGGTGGCCCTATAAACCCCAACAACAATGGCTGCTGTCACCACCATTAGCCACATACCTAATGACATGTAGTTTTTTATTCATTCTAGTGTATATATCATGTTTCTGTGTTATTAATATTGTTTATTATGTCATATTACATGAATTGTGATAGATAAATAAGCTGCAGAGTTGATATTAGGGAAATTTTCTTGTGCCTGGAATTCCACTGGAACAAATTAATTCCATTTCAGTTAATTTAAATGAGGAAAATTGACTCTGCAAACAAGCAAATCCAGTTGCGAGCAAGGTCATGAAACGGATTTAAACTCGTAAGTAGAGGTTCCACTGTATATACGTCACACACATTGGCTCGTAAGACATATACATGTATATGCAACCAAAACAGTCAAAGGGTTAAGGTTATGAAGATTACATTTTGGCCAACATGCCTCATGAGAGCATACATTTTGGCATCATGTCTCACGGGAGCTTTGCTAATGCAATGGTCAGTGAGGTAACCAGGTGTTGGTTGGAGGGAATTTTGTCCAAGATGGTTTTTGAAATACATATGAGGGAAAAGAAGTTTCCAGGTAGCCTGTTTCTTGTGATGTGAGCAAGGAGGTAACAGTTCCAGAGACAGAATCATTAGCTTTGTATCAAGGCTATTTAAATAATGACTGAGCCTCTGTCCCATGACAAGCAAACAACCTGAAAATTGATGCTGCATCATGGAAGAAGCCAGGAGCATGACCAAAGTACTGTGAAAGTCAAAGGTATCAAAGGGGGTTAAGGTGGATACTAAGCACCAGGGTCAAGCAATAAAGTAGTGCCTGAGAGCAGTATCAGGTTCTGAGGAGAATCCTAGGGTGGGCAGGGGGTCATCAGTAGGTTGTGTAGCATGAAGACAAGCCACACATTAGTAATCACCTGTAGCTTCCCTATTTTGCCTACCACCATCCAGCCCAACAAGGGGAGGCTTAACCATAGACTCTTAGTGCTTCTTTTTGATTATAATAATAATAATTAACCATAGACTAAAACAAATGACCCCAGGGTTAATAGAGAGGTATACACAAAGTAACATCAGTGAGCTATAAGACAGCCACAGGATCGAAGTGGTGCCCAATCACAGATGCTCGCTGAACACATCGTTCTACCAGGCAGATAAGAGCAATGCTACACCAGCTGATTGATTCAGTGGGGCCAGCACTGAACCTCCCATTCAACCTATATCCTACCAAAGAAGTATGTTGCCTACCTGCAGACCACAAACTACCTGTTTGCTTAACTTCCAGAAAAGAGAAGCAACGAATTCACAGGTCACAGTGCATGGCCCCTCAAGGAGGGCTCCTTGGTGCTGGTGAGGGGCTCTTGATCTAGGGAATTGGATCTGTGCTCCAGTTCCCTGAATTAACCCTATGACTGTCGCAACCCCCAATCCTGAGGCGTCTCCTGGTGTCGCAAAATTTAAAAAAAAAAAAATTATTTTTTCTTATGAAATGATAGAGAATCTTTTTCCGATTGTAAAGACACCAAAAAAAAAAACGAAATTTGATGGAAAACTGACGGAATTACGCTCTCGCGAAGTTAGCGACCTCGGCGATATTTACAAATCGGCGATTTCGCCCACTTTGAGCCCTATTTTCGGCTAATTCCATTATTCCAGTCAACCAAACTCATAGCTATTTCTTCAGAACTTCATTTTTTCCACCGATTGAGTACAAGAAACTGCCCATTTACGATTTCAACTACCCAATAACATGGTCAGAAATTTGCAATTTGGCCAATTCACAAAAATTAAAAAATATGACAATTTCAAAATAAGGACCAGAATGAACAATGCAGACATTCCTGGCTCTAAAATAACATTTTCTTTGTTCATCAGTCATGTCTCCAGGCCCCTCTAATATTACTCTTGCTTTTTATTTTGAAATTTTATTCAAACAAAAAAATAGAAGATTTACTGTTATGCAGACTACTGAAATATTGTAATAATTGTAAAAATTACATCAACCCATTCATGACTGCATATTAGAATGGCTATTTGGACATTTATTGGACAATGACATCATTTGTTTACTTTGAACATCGGCAAAAATCAAACATTTCCTGTATTTTGTGCTCCTTTTCCCAGGTTCTGTTTATAGTAAAATTAATCAAAATCACCTCTATTTCTATAATATAGTTTCCATTCCTATCAAATGAGACCAAGAAAACGAGAATACAACCACAAATACTATACGAAAATAACCATAAATTCGGCATTTTAATTAAAAAAAACGGTCGGAGTTTTTTTTTCTCATTATGCACTGCGTGCTCCAGGATTTTTTTTATATGGTGCACACTGACCACACAGACCCATTCTCTCACATGTGGGCCTACCAGCTTTCTCCTGCCTGATTTGAAGCTGCTAGAATTTATGAGTATATATACATCAAACACGGTACCTCGTAAACGTATATATACGGCCGCGACAGTCAAAGGGTTAAGCCTGAGTACCTTTATCTCTCCCCCCCACAGGCGCTGTATAATTCTACGGGTTTAGAGCCTCCCCATTATTTTAATAATACTGTAATAATAACAGTTCATGGCAAACAACACAGGACACTATTTAGTTAAGCCACTAAATCCTATGGCCATCCTGAGTGAATCGAAGCTCACCCAGTACATTATTATTATAATAAAAAAGAAGAGCTAAGCCACAAGGACTATACAGCGCTGCAGGGCAGGAAGGAAGCGAGGGCATCAGGTGGCAAAAGGGAGATGGATGAGTAATAGGTTACGGATAACAGCGGGGCAGTGGATGGTGAAAGGGTAAAGGGCAGCAAGAGACTGAACTAGAAAGGGCTGAGGGGAGTGCGAAAAGTATCATCAGAGTTTGTGGAGTAAATCAGTCGTTGTCAAGAAGTCAATGAGAGAGTCAGGATTAAAGGAGGGTCCATCAGCAAGAAGGGAAGGTAAAGAGAGAGTAGTAGAACGAAGACGACGTTGGAGGCAAATTCTGCGTGCTCGTTGATAGAGAGGGCAGTCTAACAGAATGTGGCTAATCGATACTGGAACTTGACACTGCTCACAGAGAGGAACAGGGTGCCTCTCCATGAGATACCCATGAGTAAGACGAGTGTGACCAATGCGAAGGCGGGAGAGAGTGGTCTCCCAACCTCGGCACTGATGACAAGAAGATGGCCAGTAACCTATGCTCGGTTTAATAGAATGAAGTTTGTTACCGAGCAGAGTTGACCAACGTTGTTGCCAACGGGTGCGAAGTGGGTAGCCATTGCAGCAAAATAGTCCAGAAATGGAACACCCCCGATAGGAAATTGGTAGGTCTTTACTGCTGACCGCGCAGCAGTGTCTGGCTGTTCATTGCCCTGTACGTCGACATGACCAGGGACCCAACAAAAAACAATATCTTTATGTTTGGTAGAGATACGGCGTAGCCAAAGTTGGATACGGAGAACTAGGGGATGAGATGTATCAAATTTTCGTATAGCCTGTAGAGCACTAAGGGAGTCTGAGACTACTACAAATGATGACAGGCATAGATGCGATACGAATAAGTGCTGCAAGAATGGCATACAGTTCAGCAGTAAAAATGCTAGCTGAAGATAGTAAATGTCCCCGCATGACGCTGTCCGGAAACACTGCTGCGAATCCGACGCCGTCTGAAGACTTAGAGCCATCTGTGTACACAGTGGTGGCATGAGAATGGGAGTGGAAGTGATCAAGAAAAAGAGAGCGGGAAGCCACCCAGTACAGCAAAGACCATAATTCCCATGCCACATGAAAGCCCTATCATCAGGGAAAAGATGATGGCCAGAATTCCAAATGTGTTCAATAGAAAACAATTTGTTATGGTCCAATTCAGACCAACACTGTTGTCAGCAGTTTGAAATTAAGAAAGCATTGAAAACAGTCCAAGGAATACCCCACAGGAAATTGGAAGGTCATAAATAGATGACCAAGTGTCCGAGTCTGCTTGTTCATTGTCCTGAACATTGGGATGTCCAAGGATTTGAAAAAAGAAAAAAACTTATGTGCATTTAGTAAATGATCTTGGATTACTATTTCAGAAAAAACAGCTGCATATCTGACACCATCATGAGATTTACTTATGGAACTATCGGTGTACACAACCATAACATGAGAATGAAACTGGAAGTGTTCAAAAGCATAAGGTTTTAGATAAATGAGTTTGCACATGGAAGTGGGGAGGTAAACACAAATCATAAGAACTTTCTAAGGAGGGAGGGAAAAGATGTAGGGTGAATGTAAAGGGGAGGTAAATTAAGAGATACAATGAGTGAATATAGAGAGACAAGGACACTGGATCACAATAGAGTGAATGCTTCAAGAATCTCTGACAGTATGCCTTCAAGAATTAAACAAGTAATTAAAGCTAAAGATGGAATGAGCCAACAGTAGGTCACAAGAGTAATGTAAGTCATTAATTTTGCTTAATTTCCCATTTTATTAATATTTTGTATGTAAATTATGTAAATTGTTATGTTGACAATTTCTATTGCAGGCACTGTAGGTTGTATACCTTGGATGATGATGAATTCCGAGAGTCTTTCTACTCCCAAGGCCCAGATATGGGCCCGGCTCATGCATGAATTTTAAGTACGAGTTAAATAATTTTTGTCTCTTTAGGACTTATTCAACAGGTTCTTGTAATCAAACAAAAATATATAAACATCACAAACATTTATTGGCTTCCCTACCAGCATTCATATTGGTAGAATGTTCCTATATGGAGATCACAGTTGGCCAAAACCACAGACATTGTACAATTCATTTGGTTAGAGTAGCGATACATGGTTTTGCAAATAAATATGTTATGGTACTGCTTTCATAAAAAATATAAATGTGCTTTTGTAACTGGCAGCATATCTTAATAGTAAATTATCACAAAAAAGTTATTTCACAAACTTTTTTTTTTTTTTGTTTCGTTTTCATGCTTATTTATTTGCTTAAACATCTTATTGTACTAGATGGAATGCACAGAACAGTATCAAAGTACTATACAACCAAACAATATTATTCACTAATATTAAACTCTTATTTAAAAACTTAGTTTATCTTATAAACAAAATGCCCAGTTTTTCAATAATTTTGGTTTAAGATTAAAACTCAGGAGCTTTTATTTATAAAATATTTATAATCAGATCAACATTGACAAATACATTAATAGAAAAAAGAAAATTAAAAACTTGCCAAGAAAGCTTTTTTCTGCAGACTAAGGCAATAATGAATATACTTTCCAAATCAATTTGCTAAAAAGGTGTTAGATAAAGGCAGTGCTAGAGTAAGGAATCTCATCACTATGAAGCTTTGCCCCATTAACCTTTCATTGGGATGTTGATTACATTTTATATCGCCCACTTTATTTACCGATTTTTTTTTTTTAATTTCACAAAAATTGGGACATATGTTACCTGGTTAGCAAACATTTTACTAAGTGGAAGTGCTTGAAAATTTATTAACCATCAGATACATCTATCCATGACTTAACCTAGGTATTTTCTCAAAGTTCAGTCACTACTATTAACTTCTCCCATCCTAATGTGCCTGAGAAATTACTAACATTATGACTAGATAATGGTAACTACAACATGCAGAAAAATCCATTACCAGTTAAACTAGTATGTATGTATATACAATTACATTATATAAAATAATTTCTATTTATAAACTTCAAAACAAAAGCTTATTTTAATTATTCAAAACAAGTACATTATATCATGCACAGTGCAGCCTTTATATTTTTAGTCAGGCATTTTATAATCTAGTTTAACATAAGCTTGATGAGGTTATTAGTTGTTAAATTAAACCATTGAACTTGAACAGTATTAACAATAAAGGTAGCCCTCTTTTAGCATAAATTAATGCTGCACTTAAATAAACTTCTAGATAATGGTATTTCATGTATACCAGATTATATACTACAGTATATAATATATATATAATATATATATATATATATTATATATATATATATATATATATATATATATATATATATATATATATATATATATATATATATATGTGTGTGTGTGTGTGTGTGTTGTGCCGAATAGGTAAAACTGGTCAATTAGCAAGAACTCATATTTTTTTCAATAATGTTAATGTAAAAATTTATAATTTTGGATCAAAAGAATCTTAGAAAACTTACCTAACCTTATTATAACAAGAGCAAGTTATTTTAGCTTAACCCAACTAAATATATTTTAGATTTGTTTGCAATAATTAATACTAAACAATCACAGTGAAATATATTTTTTTCGTTAGGTTCAGAATGATTTTGGCGAAATTATTGCATACACAAATTTTCGCTTGTCTTATATGGCAAGATGAGCGTTGCTATTTAAGCCAAAATCGCAAGTTCTGCCTATTCGGCACGACATATACATATATAAAATTATATATATATTTTATATATATATATATATATATATATATAATATATATATATAATATATATATATATATATATATATATATATATATATATTTTTTTTTATTTTATTATCACACCGGCCGATTCCCACCAAGGCAGGTGGCCCGAAAAAGAAAAACTTTCACCATCATTCACTCCATCACTGTCTTGCCAGAAGGTGCTTTACACTACAGTTTTTAAACTGCAACATTAACACCCCTCCTTCAGAGTGCAGGCACTGTACTTCCCATCTCCAGGACTCAAGTCCGGCCTGCCGTTTCCCTGAATCCCTTCATAAATGTTACTTTGCTCACACTCCAACAGCACGTCAAGTTATAAAAAACCATTTGTCTCCATTCACTCCTATCAAACACGCTCACGCATGCCTGCTGGAAGTCCAAGCCCCTCGCACACAAAACCTCCTTTACCCCCTCCCTCCAACCCTCCCAGGCCGACCGCCTACCCCGCCTTCCTTCCACTACAGACTGATACACTCTTGAAGTCATTCTGTTTCGCTCCATTCTCTTACATGTTCCGAACCACCTTCAACAACCCTTCCTCAGCCCTCTGGACAACAGTTTTGGTAATATATAATATATATATTATATATATATATATAATATATATATATTATATATATAATATTATATATATACACCAACACAACACACACTTTAGTACAGTATATATAAATATTAAGAGGCAGAGGCTATAAAAAAGCTAAATAACAATAGAATCCATTATAAAAAAAACGTGACCCACTCATCAAATGACTCATCAGTGCAATGAAGAGCAGATCGAGACAGACAAAAGAACAAAAAAGCATTAATATATTTATAAACATTTTATATACAAATGAATGAATTAATCTGAAGAAATAAGCTTAAGGAGCATGAACCCTTCTCAGGAAGAAAGGGGGTACCTTGATGCTGGTTAAGGGCTCTTTAACCAAGAAACTGGAGCTACTCTCCACTTTTTTTGAATCATATCCAATTACTTCTCATTTCCCCAGGCAGTCTTATCAGAAGGATAGAAAAAAAGTATTTGAACATACTTGCAGATGTCATAAAAAAAATCTACACAATGCTTTATAAGGTCTGCAATAATAATGACAATGTTTATAAAGACATTTGGATAAACTGAACAAATAGAGTGAAAGATTTATAATAAAGTGCAATTTTCATTAATGTAAAAGTATGTAAGGAAAATGAGAGAAAGCAAAAACAGGGCACATTATTATTATTATAATAAAAAAGAAGCACTAACACACTACAGGGCACATGAATAGTGTGATATTATTATACAGATCTGTATGACCCATAAGGGTTTAGCACTATAATTATAATATTCATGGAGAAGTGCTGAACCCATACAAGACTTGGGGGGGGGGAGGAGGGGATGGGTTGGGATTAATCAGGCTTGATCCAAGGATGGGGAAGGTGGCTCTAAGGTCTTGGATCAAAAGATCTTTACTAGAATTAAGGCACCGTCTTGAAGGAATAAAATACTGAAAGCAACAGACAGTAGGACTGAGGAGTACAGCAATTAAAGAAGAATGTTCTCAGATCACATAAATGAAGACTTGAAAAACTCTTACGCTACACTGGCAAATGCTACAATGCAAAAAATGCTGTTCTGCCACTGCATATTGGAGTATGCACTTTCACTGCATACTGGAAAATGCAGTGGTAGAGTGGTGTCTGCACTTAACCCTTAAACGGTCCAAACATATATATGCGTTCTCTTGCACAGCGCCCCGAATATTTTGAAAAGAAATTTTTTTTTCTAGAAAAAAAAGAACACATTTTTTTTAAGTCTTAGAATAATAAAAAAAATTAGGCTCAGTACTAACAGAGATACGAGGCCGAGAAGTTGGCACTGGATGCTCACGTGACGGCAACATCGAGTCCTGCAACTTGCAGAAGTGTTGCTGATATACCTTTTTTTCTATTTTTCATATTTATATAATTTTTATGTTCTGATAATTACAATTTATAGTAGTTCTTGACATATAACCATTCTTTGTTCTGACACTAGTATTAGGTACTGAAATTGTACTCAAATTGTCACAAACACACTGACAGGTGGACATTCACACTATTGTTTTTGTAGCTACAGTTAGAGTAAGAGGTAGATGGGAAAAGAGGAAGGTGGCAACAACAAGTAAGAGCAAGGTGAAAGTGTATAAACTAAGGGAGGAGGAAGTTCGGGGGAGATATAAGTGACTGTTGGCAGAAAGGTGGGCTAGTGCAAAGATGAGTAGTAGGGGGGTTGAAGAGGGTTGGAATAGTTTTAAAAATGCAGTATTAGAATGTGGGGCAGAAGTTTGTGGTTATAGGAGGGTGGGGGCAGGTGGAAAGAGGAGTGACTGGTGGAATGATGAAGTAAAGGATGTGATAAAAGAGAAAAAGTTAGCTTATGAGAGGTTTTTACAAAGCAGAAGTGTTATAAGAAAAGCAGAGTATATGGAGAGTAAAAGAAAGGTGAAGAGAGTGGTGAGAGAGTGCAAAAGGAGAGCAGATGATAGAGTGGGAGAGGCACTGTCAAGAAATTTTAATGAAAATAAGAAAAATTTTGGAGTGAGTTAAACAAGTTAAGAAAGCCTAGGGAAAGTATGGATTTGTCAGTTAAAAACAGAGTAGGGGAGTTAGTAGATGGGGAGAGGGAGGTATTAGGTAGATGGTGAGAATATTTTGAGGAACTTTTAAATGTTGAGGAAGAAAGGGAGGCGGTAATTCATGTACTGGTCAGGGAGGTATACCATCTTTTAGGAGTGAAGAAGAGCAGAATGTAAGTGTGGGGGAGGTACGCGAGGCATTACGTAGAATGAAAGGGGGTAAAGCAGCTGGAACTGATGGGATCATGACAGAAATGTTAAAAGCAGGGGGGGATATAGTGTTTGGAGTGGTTGGTACTTTTGTTTAATAAATGTATGAAAGAGGGGAAGGTACCTAGGGATTGGCAGAGAGCATGTATAGTCCCTTTATATAAAGGGAAAGGGGACAAAAGAGATTGTAAAAATTATAGAGGAATAAGTTTATTGAGTATACCAGGAAAAGTGTACGGTAGGGTTATAATTGAAAGAATTAGAGGTAAGACAGAATGTAGGATTGCGGATGAGCAAGGAGGTTTCAGAGTGGGTAGGGGATGTGTAGATCAAGTGTTTACATTGAAGCATATATGTGAACAGTATTTAGATAAAGGTAGGGAAGTTTTTATTGCATTTATGGATTTAGAAAAGGCATATGATAGAGTGGATAGGGGAGCAATGTGGCAGATGTTGCAAGTATTTGGAATAGGTGGTAAGTTACTAAATGCTGTAAAGAGTTTTTATGAGGATAGTGAGGCTCAGGTTAGGGTGTGTAGAAGAGAGGGAGAATACTTCCCGGTAAAAGTAGGTCTTAGACAGGGATGTGTAATGTCACCATGGTTGTTTAATATATTTATAGATGGGGTTGTAAAAGAAGTAAATGCTAGGGTGTTCAGGAGAGGGGTGGGATTAAATTATGGGGAATCAAATTCAAAATGGGAATTAACAGTTACTTTTTGCTGATGATACTGTGCTTATGGGAGATTCTAAGAAAAATTGCAAAGGTTAGTGGATGAGTTTGGGAATGTGTGTAAAGGTAGAAAGTTGAAAGTGAACATAGAAAAGAGTAAGGTGATGAGGGTATCAAATGATTTAGATAAAGAAAAATTGGATATCAAATTGGGGAGGAGGAGTATGGAAGAAGTGAATGTTTTCAGATACTTGGGAGTTGATGTGTCGGCGGATGGATTTATGAAGGATGAGGTTAATCAAAGAATTGATGAGGGAAAAAAGGCGAGTGGTGCATTGAGGTATATATGGAGTCAAAAAACGTTATCTATGGAGGCAAAGAAGGGAATGTATGAAAGTATAGTAGTACCAACACTCTTATATGGGTGTGAAGCTTGGGCGGTAAATGCAGCAGCGAGGAGACGGTTGGAAGCAGTGGAGATGTCCTGTCTAAGGGCAATGTGTGGTGTAAATATTATGCAGAAAATTCGGAGTGTGGAAATTTGGAAAAGGTGTGGAGTTAATAAAAGTATTAGTCAGAGGGCAGAAGAGGGGTTGTTGAGGTGGTTTGGTCATTTAGAGAGAATGGATCAAAGTAGAATGACATGGAAAGCATATAAATCTATAGGGGAAGGAAGGCGAGGTAGGGGTCGTCCTCGAAAGGGTTGGAGAGAGGGAGTAAAGGAGGTTTTGTGGGCAAGGGGCTTGGACTTCCAGCAAGCGTGCGTGAGCTTGTTAGATAGGAGTGAATGGAGACAAATGGTACTTCGGATCTGACGATCTGTTGGAGTGTGAGCAGGGTAATATTTAGTGAAGGGATTCAGGGAAACCGGTTATTTTCATATAGTCGGACTTGAGTCCTGAAAATGGGAAGTACAATGCCTGCACTTTAAAGGAGGAGTTTGGGATATTGGCAGTTTGGAGGGATATATTGTGTATCTTTATACA